GGGGCAACCTGCAGTTTCAGTTAGCACGCAGCTAATCCAAAAAGGAATTGGCACAGGGAGTTAATACCCTCCCCCAGAGATTTGCGGATATCTCTGGAGTCCTGGGTCTCTCCCCACCTTCACTGTCGTCTCCGAGACAGTTAGGGTTCAAAGAACCCGTCCAAAAATCCTTTGGTATAGAGGAATTTCAGGAGTAGCCTGAAACTCCATCTTCTCACTGCTAAGCCCCGCCTTCTTCCCGAGTCACTTCTTATGAATAAATGCATGCTAGAAAAGCTGATATGAACAGGTTTAGGAAATGAGATAAATGAAAGTTTGATAGGAAAGAAGATTTGCTTAAGAAGTCAAGGAAAAGAAAATACAAAAGTAGAGACAGTCTTTGACTTAAGATCACAATTGAATCCAAAATTTATGTTGCTAAGCAAGACAGTTGTCAAGTGAATTTTCACCTGATTTTGGGACCTTTCTTTGCCACATTTGTTAAGCAAATTGCCAAAGTTGTTAAGTGAATCTGATTTCCCCCATTGTCTTTGCTTGCTGGAAGCCAACAGGGAAGATTATAAATGGTGATCACATGGGACGTTGCAACTGTCAATAAATACAGCCTGGTTGGCAAATGCCTGCATTTTGGTCACATGACCATGAGGATGCTACAATGCTCTTAAGTGTGGAAACTGGTCATAGGTCACTTTTTTTCAATGCCTTTGTAACTTTGAACAATCATTAAATGAATGATTGTAGATCAAGGACTACCTGTACAATGTTGGAATTTTATTTAGTTGCTGTGTGAGACTACTACTAATAATGGGAAGTGTAATAGGTGTAGGTATAATAAATCTGAGCAAGGATGTTGCCCTTCCACATAATTCACTGTTGCAAACCTTTATTTTGTTTCATTTTCCAGTCAGAAGGGCCTCCCTTTCTTCCTATATCTTGCTCTGGCTCATATGCATGTGCCTTTGGTTTTGTCTGAGGCACCTTGGAATCCATTTTGCCAAGATCCCTATGGAACATACTTGAAGGAAATGGATGCTTTGGTGGGACAGATAAAGGATGCGGTTGACAGCACAGCAAAGGAAGATACTCTCCTCTGGTTTACAGGTGAAGTTAAAAAAAAACAACACCTCACCGCAGTACAGGCAGCACTGAGATGTCATTTTGGTAGGGACATTTGAAAGTCTATCCTGAGAACTTGCTGGATACAATAGCATGAATCACTCTATGATGAAGCATTTTAAATGTCTTGTGTGGTGGCTAGGGATTAGATCCAGTGGAGAAAACTAAAACCTCCCTGATGGATAATTGTCAAGTCACTGCTTGAATACACCAGGGACATATGCCACCATCCAAACCAGTGGTGGGTTTCAAAAATTTTTAGAACCTCTTATGTAGGTGTGGCCTGCTTTGTGGGAGTGGCCTGTTGGCCATGTGACTGGGTGGGAGTGGCTTGCCAGCCATGTGACCGGGTGAGAGTGCCTTGCCCGCCATGTGACAGAGTGGGAATGACTTGGCAGTCATGTGCTGAACTACCTGTTCTTTGTTTTGTGTACACAAA